TTAAGGATATGTTGGCTGGGAATTTCCAAGTTGCCTGTTATGCTTTCTCAGTTCGCTGATGATGTTATTTCATTGGTTTACAGCCTTTATTGTTGCTACTGAGGTCTGTTATGTAAGTCATTGTTGTTTATAGGTAATTGACCTTTTTGCTAAGATTTTTCTCATTCTCTTTGATATTCTGGTAGTTTCGATATGACTTGTGTAGATGTGTGTTTATTTTTACATGTCTCATTGAGGCTCCGTTTGTTTCTGTGAGGATTCTTGTCTGGAAAACTCTTAGCAATTTTGTTTTCAACCTTTTCTTTTCCAAAATCCTCTTTATCTGTCCTTCCTTGTAAATGTACATTGGGCTTCAGTATTTATGTATTTAGATATACACACATTTTTGATGATCGTTTGAAAGTGAAATTCGGGTATTATAGCATTTCACCTGCAAATATTTCAGCATGTGTTTTTTTGTGGACGAGAATATTCTCCTACACAATCACAGTATAATTGTGGCACCCAAAAAACTTCACGTTGATTCAGTAGCATCATCTAACACATAACCCATAACAAAATTCCTCCCAAACGTCCCCTAAGTGTTCTCGGACTTATTTTTTTTTTTTTTTTCAATCTAGGATCCATTCAGGGTTCACCCATTGTTTTAGTCGACTTGCATCTCAGGTCCATTTTAATCTCATATAGTTTCAGTTTTTTACCAAGAGTGTTAACTTATTGTCTGAGGATGCTTATATTCTAGATTTGCAGGTCTGTCTCCTTCCTAGGTTTACCTTAAGCACTTTCTGGGCAGAGATATGTGCTGCTGTGTCCTTCCCATCATGTCACACCAGGAGCTCCTAATGTCACTTTGTTTTATTCTTGGTAATACTAAGTAGGACCACTCATAAGGTGGTGAGGGTCAATGTCTTCATTGTCATACGATAATTTCCCCTTTGCACTTAGTAATTCATAACTTTCAAAATACCTTGTTCCTCAAACACCTTTCATCTAGTGGTATATATTGATGATCTTGTTCCATAAAGGATTAGATTGGTATAAAATGGTGACTTTTCCCATTTACCCTTCCTTCTACATTTGGTGATTGGCAGTGTTCTGTAGAGAAGGACTTTTCTGTTCTCTGTCTCTCGCACTCTCCCTCCATATTTCCTTCTCTCCTCCGAACGCAGAGGAACAGGGCCCTTCCTCCTGTCTGTGTCATGTTAAGAGCTGATGGGTTCCTGCTGAACCTTCAGGAGGGCAAGAGCTTGAAAGACCTTCCACAAGACCTTGACCAGGGCACGCCACTCCTTCAGAGTCCCTGTGTTCCATGGTGAGTAGAGACCTCAGGCTTTGCCCATGGTACAGACCAAGAACCTGAAACCCACAGAGGGTAAGTGACTTGCTCGAGGCCATGTAGAGAGGGGAGAGCAGGGACAAGAACCCACGTCTCCTAGTGGCACTTTTAATTTAGCCAAGAACTCAGTCACTCAGGAATTGAGTCCTGATCCTGTGTAGGCCTGAACACACTGCCCTAGCCCCGGCTTCTCTCTGTGGGGCACAGATCCGGCTTCTCTCTGTGGGGCGGAGACCTCAGAAAGAGCAGGGTGTCTGCTGCCTGGGCCCCAGGGACTTTCTAGACACACACTTTGACACACATCTCTGGGCCGTCTGCACAATTACACTTTGAAAGTGCATTTGAACCCCTTGATTCTTTTTGTCATTGTTGTTCATAATAGTGTTCACTCAAAGGCAAGAACATGCTTTTAAACTGACCTTCTAAACTCAAAGCTTACACCATAAAGGGACACATGAAAAGAACAATAAGCACAGTCTCCAAGGGTAAATGTCACTTGAAGGCTCCTCCGGGGAGCTCTATGGGAAACAGGCACAAAGCTTCTAAGCTGCCCTCACAGCTGATGGATGGCCCTCTGGGTGGAAGTCTTGTGACCAGGGAGAGGCCCCGCTGTTCCCTCTGCGCTGGGAACATCATCCCCACCCTCTCCATCATGGCTCAGGGCCACCTGCCTGCCTTCAGGAGCCCAGGGAACAGTAGGGGTGGCTGCATTTTATCGCATGGAAGCTTCTGGGCAGGAGAAAGACATGCAAATAGGAGGAGAGAGGAAAGTGGAATATTTGAAGCCAGCGGCCTGACCCAGGGTCCTGGCTCTGTCACTTCTGAGTCGTGAGAACTTGTGTAAGTCACCAAGCTTCTGTGAGAGTCACTCGGGTGTCCAACACCCATTCATGGAACACTGGCCACAAGCTGGACCCCCGGGACCTGGGAGACCAAGAGAGTTCTTTCTTCCTCCATGGTGACAATTCTTACCAGGGGTTTTACTTGCTCCTCACTGCTGTAGCAGATTACCAGTGGCTTTACACTAGAATTTATTATCTCACAGTTCCAGAGGCTGACGTCTGAGATGGGTTCCACGGGATGAAGGAGCTGGCAGTCTGGCTGTGCTGGAGCCTTCTCACCCCTGACACCTGCCTGTCCTCCTCTGCCTGTGGCCAGTTCCTCTGCCTACAAAGCACAACACTCCTGTCTCTGCTATTATCATCACGTCTCTTTCTCTTCTGTGTCACATCTTCTGCCTTTTTCTTATATGGGTCTTCAGGACTCCATAGGTCCCTCCTGGAGAATCCAGGATGACTGACCTTCCTCCCCATCACAAGATCCTCCACAATCCCATTTGCAAAATGGCTTTTGCCATGTGACATTTGCAGGCTATGGGGATTAGGACGTGTGTATCCTCGGGGGCCAGCCCACCACACCACGTCCTGTGCAGCTTATGTCTGTTCATCGTACACCTCTGGGTCTCCCCTGGGTGGGGAGATAAGCCTGCCTGATAACCCCACACAGATACTTGGAGGGTGAGTGAAGAAATGAGTCTCGACATGCTTTGGAGTTGAGAAGGAAGGAGGGAACATTCCAGGTAGGCTTTAGGGGATTAGTATGAGCTTGTCAAGGACATTCTACATGGAGTGAGCAGCTTATGGAAAGGTATAGGGGCCTGGGCTCAGATACTCAGCATAGAAGAAAAGCAGGTAGAGTAGAGTGGCCCAGAGGGCGATGAGGCTGGGCAGTAGGTGGCCAGGTCATGGAGAGCCTTGGAGGATACCCTCATGGACTGGGTTTTATTTTACAAGGAAGCTGTATGTGTGGTAGTTATTGCCATTATCTTAGGAGTCATTGTTTGAGTTTACACCTGTGCTGCCATTAATTTGCTATGTAATCCTGGAAAAATTACTAAACCTCTGTGAGACGCTGAAATATCTGCTTCGTCAAGCTGTTCTGAGAAGGAGATGAATTCTGAGGTTTGCAAAGCACTTAGCAGAGTGCCTGGAATGGTGAAGGGAGCCAGAAGGGATTTGTTGTTGTTCTTATTTTCTTAATAAATATAATCATCATTGTTAATGGCAATGGTGGTGGTGATGGGGAACCCGTGGAGCATTGCAGCCAGGCTGCAGTGTCGTGGTCAGACGGTGCTTCGTAGAAAGATGACCTGTGGAGCTCTGGGGGGCTGAGGGGTGAGCCACACTCGTGGTCAGAAGAGCAGCAAGGTGAAGATAATCCGGGTGAGAGATGAAGAGGCTGAGAGCATCGGTGGGTTTGAGGGAGACACTGGTGGACGTGGGGTGTCCATGAGCAGTCTTTGCCCCTGTTGTCCCCTGCCTGTATTAGAGGCCATCTAGTGCTGTTGCCTCTGTGCTCGCTTTTCTGACAGGGACACTGAGGCACAGCAAGGGGATGGTGCCTTGCCTTAGTCTCCAGATGAGACCATTCTGAAGGGACAGGTTAGGGGGCTCAGGTCCCCAGCCAAGTGTGGTGCAGAGGCTTCTGGTCACGTGCAGCTCAGTTCTTCCCCATGGCCATGGGCTCCCTCCCCCATGCCCCCACTCCTCCATGCCTTAACCCCTCTTTCCAGCCCATCCTCCTCCCACACCCCATCAAGAGCACCTGTAGACTCCTGGAGGTGTTGGACTGAGGGGATTTGGGGTTTTAAGGGAGGAAAATGGCAGGGCTAAGTGGTGAGGTCTAGTGGAGGGTGGGGCTGCCGGGGAGGGAGGTGGCCCGGGTTAAAACCGTCCAAGAAAGCAGGAGTCCAAAGCAGCATGTGCTCACGGGTTGAGGACTGGATGTCCTCTGTGGTCTTCCATTCACACCCTCCATACATCTTCAGGAGGAAACCGGTTCAATAGAGTGTACTGTGGCAAGACTCCGATTGTTACTTCAATCATCTCTTACCCGGCACGGATGTTGGAGGAAGAGATATTTCAATGCCACGTTCAAAAGAGCCGTCATTTTGAAACATAGTGAATGGCTTTCAGAGAGTGATGTAATGATGTAATGTTGTTATTTTTAATGGAGTCTTTAAAAAAAATTATTTTCCTTTAGTGTAGATGGATGCATGCTCCAGGACAAAAATAATCTAAGGGAGCGACCATACAGGTGGACCATGTTAAGGAAGCAACAGGTATAGACTCAAATTTACAAATCAGAATCACAGGTCAAATTTTCAGATAACAGAGGGATAGATACAGGGCAGGTTCCTTTAAATGTGTTGGTACATCTCAGAGGTCTCATACCTGGCAACTGACGACTTTGCAAGGACACTCGGGGAGAGAAAACAAACAAAAAGCTCATAGAGATTAGATGAAAAAAGTCTGTGCAATGATTACAAGAACTTGATCTCTTTGTGTGTCTCCCTGCAGTATTCATAGTGACATCAGTGAAATGTGTTGGCATTCAGGGCTTGGAGGTGTCTGACTGTCCTATGTTGGCTGGTGTGGGTGCCTCTTTGTGAGAACACAGCATTGACAGGCACCTTGGAGGCCATTGGGTCAGGTGTCATGCACGTGGAGCCTGTGCTGAGAGAGGGGAAGCCACACTCTGGGTGACCGGGCCAGGGCTGGAAAGAACCCCCGCCACTGGACTCCCACCAGCATTCCTTCCAGTCTCCTCTACTGTTTGCATTTCTCTGTCACTCCCCAGCACATTGACCTTTTCTTTTTTCCAGGAAAAATCAACCACTGGCGTCTGACAAGGTGGATGATGACCTGGGTGCCCTGCAGCTTGGTAGGTGTGGCCAGTGCCTCTCTGCTGTGCCCATCAGAGTCCTCTCTGATTGCTCTGCCTGGGGTGGTGGGTGGTAGGTGCTCTCTCCTGGCTGGGGCGGGGCCCCCTGTCATGTCTCCTGGCCTCAGGAAGCAGGGGCAGGCTTCTCTCCTCTCTGTTGATGTCTTCTTTGGCTACTGACTTTCTCTCCTGGAGAAATCCTTTTGGGAAAGCTGGTCACTTCTGGGTGCAGGCTGGGGTTGGGGGACCAGGGGAGCCCCTTCTGCATTTGCAGTTTCTTTTAAGACCATTCAGAACCTACTGAGGTTTTCAGAAGACAGTTCATGGTTAAAATAAGAGTATTGCTCTGCCTGGAGAGGTTCATCCTTTTTAAAAATTTATAAACAAGGGGGAAGGAGACAGAGAGGGAAAGGGGAAGAAAGAGGGAATGAAATGGACCAAATTATCCTAGGCACATGCACGAAGATACCTCAATGCATCCCAATTTTACATGTAACAAGAAGGCATCAATTTAAATAGAAGTGCCTGGTGTGGTGGCGCACACCTGTAATCCCAGTGGCATGGGAGGCTAAGGCAGGAGAATCATGAGTTCAAAGCCAGCCTTAGCAACTTTGTGAGGCCCTAAGCAACTTGGCAAGACCCTGTCTCAAAATAAAAAATAAAAGAGCTGGGGATGTGGCTCAGGGGTAAAACACCCCTGGGTTCCATCCCTAGTACCAAAAATAAACAAAATAAATAGGAGGAAGACTATAGAGGAGAGGAAGGGAACAGGGGAGGGAGGAGAGAGGAAAAGAGGTAGTCCTGGGGATTGAAATGGAAAAAGCTGTGTTATATGCATTTGTGACTATGTCAAAATAAACCCCACTCTTGCGTATACCTATAATGCACTAAAAAGTTTATAGACGTACTATCGAGGTATGGAATACAAATACCCAGGTGTATAAGGTGCACACACCCTCAGCGTTCAACCCTGGGCATTTCTCGTGAGGATACATCTGCGCAACTGCCCTCTGAGATCGAGATAGGGAACGTTTTTTTCCACTCTAGTTTTGAAGCAGTTTTTTTCTCTCTCTGCAATTCTGTACCCTCCAAGATTGAGGGCTTGGCAAAAACCACTGTAGAACTAAGGACAACGGGCCAAGGACTGGACGGGAAGGGATGGACTCCCGTGCTGTCGCCGCTTGCTCCCCTCCTGGAAGCCAGCCGGTTACCTACTGGGCCACTCTGGCTGACGAAAGCTGTTCTCACATGCTTTTCTTCTCCATTTTTTAAGCATTCCCTTTTAAGCTGCAGGAAGAGAGCAATGCCCCCGTCAGAAGTTCCTCGTGTGAGACGTGCGCCCGACAGTCTGCTTTGATCAAGTTGAAAGCCAGGGGCAGGCCTCTGAACTGTGCAGGCAGGGCTTTGTTTATTCTGCTTAACTCCCTTCAGAGGTAACGGAGCCTCTGAGTTTTAATCACCAGAAATGGCTGGTGGGGATCACTGGGGCCTACCCAGGAAGGGCACGTTTCTGAACCTGGCTGTGCAGAGTGAAGGATGGAGACAGGAAGCCCTGGCATTCAAAGCCTTCTGGGAGGTGCTGTACTTGAAGATTTTCTGGTGAAAGCCACTCGTGTTTGGACACAAAGCAAAGCAGCTTCTGGCCTTCAGAACCCAGAGAGCATCTATTAGAAGGAAGGCCTTTAGCATTCTTAGAAGCCAGGTGTTTGAAGTGTGAGTGTGTGTGTGCACGTGTTTCCTGAGACAGGCAGACACCCTCTGCTACTGACTCAGCTAGAGGTATAGAAAAGGAAAAGGGAAAGAGACCAGTGGACCCCATCACTAAGAGAGTTGGTGGAGTTTTTTTTTTTTTTTTTTTTTTAAGTACTAGGGATTGAACCCAGGGGTATTAACCAGTGAGCCACATCCCTATCTCTTTTTATTTTTTATTTTGAGACAGGGTCTCCCTAAGTTGCTGAGGCTGGTTTTGAACTTGTGATCCTCAGCCTTCCGAGCTGCTGGGATACAGGTGTGCCACTGCACCGGGCCCCACTAAGAGAGTTTATGGGAGACAGAAGAGTAGAGTTGGATTGGGGGAAGGGGTTGCCACAGTGGTGTAGAAAAAGAATGTTAAATTTGGTTACTGGCATGGCATCCCCTTCTCCACCCTGATGCATTTTCTGTGGTTCAATTCAGTAAACTTTTGTTAGCAACTCCTGCCTGCCAGGGTGTGGGCGAGGCTCCACTGAGGGCAGACCCAGGTGAGCGAAGGACACTATGCCTTCTTGGAAGACAGAGTTGGGTGGGACCAAGGAGGAGAGGTGTCTTCTCACAGCAGTGCATGAAGCACATGAACAGTGTGCTCAGCTGCCTCAGCAGACATGGAAGCCAAGTCCTGTGGTGGGTTCTGGAAGTTTCCATAGTGAGGTGGCATTTAGATTGAACTTAAAGGATGGGAAAGGTCTTGCCACATAGGCAAGGGGCAGGAACCGCATGGGCAATAGCTTTTGGGGGGGGGGGGGAGAGAGAGAGAGAGAGAGAGAGAGAAAGAGAAAATGAATGAATGGCTGGAAGAGAGTGACCTGGAGGGAAGTGGGTGGTTGGTGGGGACGAGGCTGGAGAAGACTGGGGAGGCAGAGAGGACTGTTTCTGTGCTAAAGGGGTGCACAGGAATTTGCTGGGCAGGAAGGAGTCTTTGAACATCTGTGCTGTGCCTTTAGGGCTCTATCTAATTTAGATATAGGATGGATTTTAGGGTAAGAAACTGCACACTGGAGACTGGAGAAGGGCTCTTGGGATAGTCCAGAGATGTGATGAGGCCCCTATTCTTTCTGGGAAGACCTCTGGGTACTTCAGGGGTCTGTTAAAATACCATCTCTATGGGGCTCTTTGACCCTTTATGGCAGAATTCATTGTCTCACCCCTAAAACCTTGCACTCGTTCCTATTTCTGCACTTGACCCTGTTATGTTATAATTTGGCACTGTCTCCCTCCGGGCAGGGGTGGTACTTCTTCGTCTCTGTACCTCCTCTGTCCCTCACAGAGTCATCCGAGAAGCACCCGAGACACTGATTCCCGTAGCATTGGAGGAAGGAAGGTGGAGGGCACACACAAGACATTCCGGAGGCAGAAAAATCCAGAGGCAGGAGCAATGCCGGGTGGGAGAGAGTTGCAGTTTCAGCCTGGGGCACTGGTGGAGGGCGATGGGGTCCTTTATCAAAACCAGAGCCTGGCAGATGGCTGAGTTTCTGATGTTGGATGCTTCTAGAACATATCTTGACCCACTAATATAGATGTCACATTCAAATTGCTCATACAGGAAAAGAGCTACGTAGCCCATTCTCTCTGTAGAATCCAAAGGATGAGCATCTTTCTCCTTGGTATCTTTGACTCCTACTTGAAATACCATATATATGTGTGTGTATATACATATATACATATCATATATACATATCATATATATATATATACATATATCTATGTATACACATACACACAAAAAATTTTTATTTCATTTTTATTCCTCCACAGGGTAGATAAAACCATTGGTATGGGAAAACAAAAACCCTTGCTTCTTTCCTTTTCCACCAGACATTTATATGAGAACCTTAAAAATAGCATTTGCAAACCACTGGCATTTGCAGCTGGTTCAGTTGGCTTGGCCAACATGTCATTCCAGAGCGCTTTGTTTTTCCCTTGCACAGTGGTCTCGCCACATCTGGGCCTGAGGCCTTCTATGTGGTCCTGAACCCGCTCCCTGCACTGGGCCAGTTCCTCCCCGTAGAAGCCAACGGAGGCTGCCTGCCCCCTCCTGCCTGTGCTTCATGGAGTCGGCTTCCCTGGGCTCCCAGCCTCCACCCCGGACCACTCTTGGCCTAGGGAGAGCGTGTTTCAGACTGGGCCTCCTCCCTGACAACCCCAGACTAAACAGAAGCCTCCAAATAGGCTTATATACCACCGCTTCTGTGCCATCAGGAAGTAGCCTGGCCTGGTCACCACCAGGAGACCTTCTGGGCCTGGAAGTCACTAAGGTTACTCTGCCCCTTGTCTGGGGCCCCAGGTTCCCAGGGTGGAATTAATTACAGATCTCTGTTCTTCCAGCCAATGGTCTCCATGTCAACCTCTGCAAAATTCTGCCCATCAGCCTCCCTTCTCCCTCTTCCTTTCTTCCTGCTGATTTCTCTTTATCTTCACCAACCACTGTCTCTGGAACTTCTTCCTCCAGGAGCGACCATTGCTCAGGCTTTGCCGGTGTCTTTTTCGCTTGTGTTATGTATTCTCACACGTGTGCGGCACTGTAGCTACATGGTATTGTGTGCCTTGCTGGGTCTCTGACTTTCTCCACTGGGCACCATGTTGTTAAGAGCCATTTCTGTTGCTGGGTGAAATGAAGACATCTGTTCTTTATTATTTCAAGTTCCTTTTATAAAGCTATGGTCACACAGGGGTTGGGGTTGTGGCTCAGTAGTAAAAGCACTTGCCTAGCACGTGTGAGGCCCTGAGCTTATCCCCAGCACGGCCAAAAAAAAAAAAAAGAATAAAAAAGCTATGGTCACAGGATAGCTTTTACAGAGATTCCCATTAAGATGGCGTCTCATTTAAATTCATCTTCTTATGTAAATTCCAGACCTTTTTTGGAGAGGCTGTACCAGGGATTGAACTCAGGGGCATTCGACCACTGAGCTACATCCCCAGCCCTATCTTGTATTTTATTTAGAGTCAGGGTCTCACAGAGTTGCTTAGCACCTCACGTTTGCTGAGGCTGGCTTTGAACTCTTGATCCTCCTGCCTCAGCCTCCCAAGCTGCTGGGATGACAGGCGTATGACACGGTGCCCAACCCAGACAACTTCTTTTTTTTTTCAGCCCAAAGGTAGAATCTGTCTCCTCATTCACCGAGTGTCAGGCATTTGCCTTGTGCTATGGCTAATTCTCCCCTATGGGAAATAAGGAGGCTATAGAGGAAGATATAAGCTATGTGTCCTGGGGATATTGACCTGTTGACACCCCCCCCACTCCACAATAGGCCCACTCTAGCTGCATGTGTAGGGGACTGCATTCACAGTGCCCAGCCTTGGTGGCCCCCAGGAGTGCATCCTGCTCAGATCTGCCCTGCTCAGCTTCACCAGCACACTTGCCTTGGGATGGTTTCTCCCTGGGTCCCCTATCTGAGTGCTCTGGTAAATACAGTGGCAGTATTAGAAGGGCCGGTTTTGGGGGGCTGGGGGGAGGGCTCACCCAGCTAGAAATTTACAGGCTGGTGCTGCTGAAGACTTTGGCGGAGGCTCTCAGGGCCTCCGTTGCTCCAGCTGTAAGAGGACTATATCCGAAATCTGGCTTAGCATCTCTTCTGGCAGGAGATCCAGGACAGGTAGGAACCTAGGATGGCTGAATGGTTAGCAGTCGGCCTGGGTTTATATCCTGATATCCTGTCTCTGCCACTTCCCATCTGCCTGACTTGGGGTCAGTGACTCCCCAAAGTCTGTCGTTGGGGGTATTCATTTTATTATCTTGGGCTGAGGGTGCAGCTCAGGGGGAGAGGCTTGCCTGGTGTGCACGAGGCCCTGGATTTGATTCCTAGCACTTAAAAAAAAAAAAAAAAAAAAGCACGATTCTTTTATTGGGCCATTATAGGGGTTAGGTGACACAATCCAAGAGGCCAATAATGTAAAGCACAACAGTAATAAACTATGACTAGAGTTGTTTTTTCAGAAACGTTTCATTTTCTTTCCTAATTCTGTCCTCCTCGCGTTTTTCTCAGGGTGAGAGATGTGTGCATCGTGTCTGCTGTGGGTAGGAGTGCCTCTGGGCTAGGCTTTTTCTTGGCCGGGCTTGGTGGCTCGGGTCCTAGGCACTCCATTCATGCTGTATCCCCACGTGGCATTTCCTAGTGGACCCGTCGCTAAGTATCACCCACCCGTCGTATCCTTGTGGCATAACCAGGGAGGGATCGTAACAAGGAACGAGGTCCCTCTTGATCTGCTTTCTTTCCTTCTGCTGAAGCCCTGAGGCCTCTAGCAGAGGCTGGGGTGGAGGCTGGAGGAGCCATCCCAACCCCCAAACCTTCTCTGGACTTGTCACACAGCACCATTGACTTTATGTTCTGTTCTCTGTGAGTCATGACGTGGTGTTTTTTTTCTCCCCCACCCAGAGGATGTGGATGATACATTGATAAAGGAAGAAGTCATCCTGTCCCCAGCCCCATCAGTACTCAAGCTGCAAGTAGCATCAAAGCCAATTGACCTCTCTGTAGCAAAGGTAGGTGTCAACTTGGAAGTGTCAGGAGAGTTCCATGTTAAAATACATCCTGATATGGCTGCGGTGATTTTGATATTTTTGGTGCAGTCCTTCTCATTGTAATATCTTGATCATTGTTAAAATGGAAATTTGGGTGTGATGTAGAAGAAAACCTTACTCAAGGGTCAGGAAAATGGTTCAGGTCCTGTTGAGCTTCCCCTAGATGGAGAAGGGTGGGTTACGCCCTCCCCATCCAAATACCACAGGACCCAGTTCCTTGTGTGGCTCAGAGCGGCTTTACCGCATCCCTAAAGGACACCCCCAGAGTGGGGTGGGATCAGGATAATTGTTCCCATGAGGTTGGCTCTGATCCCAAGCCAGCCTCCCACACTGGGCTCTGGCTGGGTTGCTATGAGGGAAGGACAAGGAGGGCAAATGATTCCTCAGCACTGTCCAGGTTCACGCCTGGGGCCTCCTGAAGAGGTCAGTGGTCACAGGACACAGGGAGCCGGTCCCTGGCCTTAGCGCCTGCTCTGCAGGCTGTCCTGGACTCCCTGCTGTGCTCAGCCACCAGCATGATCTCACTGCTCCCCCTGGCCAGAGGCTGTCCTTCATGGGCCTTTCAGCCAGGATCCAGGAGGAAAAACAGACCCTCCTGGGGACACAGCTGGCTTCCTTCTCTTCCCATTTACTACAGATTGACTCAGCACACAGGTCACAAAGTACAGGGTTTTCCTAGAGGTTTGTCCTTTCCTTTCCCATCTCCCTCCTCTCTGCCTCCCTTTCTTTCCCTTCCCAGAGGATGGAGACACACTTCAGGAGCCCCAAAGCAAGGAGTGGGTGCTCTGGCCTTATAACCACAAGGCCAGAATTCTTTGCAGAGGGTACTCCCTTTTGGGGTCAGACCTAAAGATCATGTCCAAAAGCAATGAGAAAAGGGGAGGCCGACAGAGAAGGCGGCTCAGGGCCCACGGCCTCCACGGCAGGTAGAGCCCAGGATTGCAGGCTGTGGACTACACTGTGCTGAGCCTGAATCACTCTGTGGCTCAGATAATGGAGATGGAGGTTAGCCAGAAAATCCAAGTCCTTGTAGTTGCTAGGTTCTTGAGAAATGAGAGACGCAGTTTAAACACATGGGGGATTGTAGTTGGCACAAGAAAGGGAACTGGCCATGAAAGGCAAATTCATACATTCAATGTGTGTCATGGGCCCACGTTTGGTGACACAGAGGCTTCTGCCATAGAGATTTCCTTACACTCAAGGAAAGAAATAATCACCAATTCTAGTGGAAAGTATTTGGAGACTATAGAAAAAGCCTGACCTGAAAGTTGGCTCAGGGGTGTGTTGGAGAATCTACCTGTGGGTCCCTGAGACTTCAGGGTCCCCTTGGATCTAAAACCATGGCCATGAGAGGGCGGTCCAACATGGGGGTGGGGAGGCTCTGCCTTTCCCTCTGAGGGTCTGACAGTGGAGAGGGGTGGGTCCTTCCTGGGCTCTGGACCATGGAGCTTGGGTTGATGGGAGGTGGACAGTGAGCTCAGTATCATCTCGGAATCTAAAGACAGGACTCTGAAAAATGAACGGGCTGCTGCCTTTGGAGCCCCTTCTTGGGGGTGGTGGGGTGTTCAAGCAGAGTTCACTGAGGCTCACTCAGAGGTGGCCCTAAAGGGCTAGACAATAGATATTTTTTACTTTGCGTGACCCAGGGTCTTTGTTGCAAGTACTCATCTCTGCTGTTGTAATGTAAAAGCAGCTGTAGACAAAATGTAAACAAATGAGCACCTCTGTGTATCAATAAAACTTCATTTACAAAAACATGGGGGCCAGATTTGGTTTGTGGGTTGTAGTTTGCCAACCCCGTACCACAGCACTGGTTCTCAGACCTGGCTGCAAAGTGGAATCACACGGAGGCAGTTTGAAAAGTACTGATAGTCGGGCAGGGGAGGTGGCTCGGCGTGGCATGTGGGGAGTTCTGGGTTTGATCCCCAGCATTACAAAAACAAAACCAAAATAAAAAAACAAAGCTGCTGATACCAGAGTCCCTCACTCAGGAATTCAGACTTCATTGGAGGCAGGTTTGTCAACTTCTAGTCTTTCCTATAGAAGTTCAGAAGACTTCCAAGTCCCTTGCAAAATGAAAATCTTGTGTTTCAAGTCCTCTGTAAGGCACCTACGAAGATCTTGGCCCATGTCAGCACAGCCTTGTTTGGCTTACAAATGTGCAGAGGTGAGACCCTTAGGGCCGGGTTTCTCTTCCCTCAAATATGAGAAGAATGGGCTTGCAAAATAAAGGGAGCCCAGCTAGTGAAGGCACTGCCCTGCTATAATTTGAGTCCAGCTGAGCACCGAGCACTGCAGCAGTGTTTGCTTTTAAAACAACCAGTAAGACTTTCTCCTCTCCACAGGACATAAAGACCCTTCTGTTTGGTTCTTGCTTTTGCTGCTTCAATGAAGAATGGAAACTTCAGAGTTTTTCCTTCAGTGACACGGCTTCCTTAAAATATGGCATTGTGCAGAACAAGGCAGGTTGACCTTCGGGTTCTCAGGGGGCTTTCCGCTGGGTCACCATGGTCGGGATGGGGACATCCCCTAGCTGGGGAATGCCACAAGCCTTGGCTGGTTTATCCAGGGCTGGCCACTTCATGTTGGACAAGGTATCACTTGGTGCAGGAACTTCCCCGTGTGACTGGTGGGGTGAGAGCTGGAAATCCAGACCCTCTTCTTAGCAGTCATTCTAACCGAGCACCCACTTGCTAGGAGTGGTCCTGGGTGAGGGGGAGCAATAGGAGGCCCTCAGTCTGCTCTGGTGCACTGCAGGTGCTGTTGATGCTGCTCAGTTCCACAGACCCTTTTGGGAGGTGCTACAGGGGATTGAACTCAGGGGCACTCGGCCACTGAGCCACTTCCCCAGCCCTATTTTGTATTTTATTTAGAGACAGGGTCACTAAGTTGCTTAGTGCCTCACTTTTGCTGAGGCTGGCTTTGAACTCACGATCCTCCTGCCTCAGCCTCCTGAGCTGCTGGGATTACAGGTGTGCACCACAGCACCTGGAAATTTCATGTTACAGTATGGGAGGCGATAAAGTCACACCTGGAGTGCTGAGGTGACTCACAAGCTGAGCTCACATAAGCAGATGCTGCTGAAGGGGCTCATTGCTAGCTGAGGTAGTCAGGAAAGACTTCCTGGAGGAGATGGCCTTTAGGATAGGTTTCAAGGGCTGGGTAGACAATTGTATAGCCTGTATACATTGAAGCATTTCCCTGGATGACAGGAAACCTATGGTGACACCTGTGGCTTCACACCTAGCTGGTTGTGAACAGCTAAGTTCCTCCCCTGGCACATTATAGACTAATCCCTCCTCTGGGGGGCCTTGTTACCCCCTCTCTGTGACTCAGGGTCAACGTTGACTGCAGACAGTCACATGTTAGGGTCCTGTTTGTGAGGGAACAGAGCAGGGGGTGCTTGAGCCCTGTAACTTGGGGCTGGGGGCTGGGGAGGTGGAGCAGAGCTCTGCCCTGGGCCCCTTGGCCTTGGTGGTAACACGCGCTTCTCTGCAGGGCGGCCCCTGTGGGGTTCTGGCGGCCGTCCAGGGCTGCGTGCTGCAGAAACTCCTGTTTGAAGGCGAGAGCGGAGCCCGCTGCGCGCGGTAAGTCAGGGTTCATTCTGGCAATAGCTTCCTTTCCCAAGGCTTCTCCGGAGCATCCAGAACAAACAAGCAAGGAAGCGTGTGTGTTCCCTGATATTTCCCGTCTCCTGGAGGTCACGACAGGAAGGGGTCACGGCAGTGAGCTAGCAGGGTGGTGCTGACCGTGTTAAATGGACGTGCGGGCATTCGTTTCTGGGCGCGGGGAGGATTGGAGGGCTCCCACATGCTAGGCACTGCTGGACAGTGTGGAAATGGGGCCTGCTGCCTCCTCGGAAGGGTCGATACCGTCCACACCCACGTCGATCTGCTGATCCGTGACCAAGTCCAGGGCTCCCCTCCCTCCCACGTTATCTCCCCTCTGCCAACGGTCAGAACCACACATTCCAGCACGTGGCTTCCTCTCCCTGCAGCTGTTTATTTTCCATTTTCCATGCTAAGTGCTTGCACCTGGGCACCCCCATCTCCTCCCCATCTTGCTGGAACACCTCTATGCAGGCATGATGGACGCCCGGGAGAACCACATGCATATCTCCTCCCCAGAGATGCACCATGAGGTAACCCTGTACCATGGTTGGTGCCAAGAGCAAAGGATGGGTGAGGTCCTGGCCGATGCCAGAGGCTGGCGAGGCCTCCCAGAGGAGGTAGCGGTCATACCATCTCCTCTTTGCATCCCAGTTCCTAGCTCATAGCAAGTCACCCCAGAGTTATCCCCACTTCTAGCATTCACCCTTTGTTTTTCCTTGTAGTTGAAAATATTATACATACAATTAAAAGACGTTTTACTCTGATACCTGAAGGAGGAAGAGAGTCCTTGATTCCCCTTCACACGCGTCCTTGAAGGTATGCAATTTCTCAAGAGAGAAAACATTCCCAGGAGTCCCCTTGCTCCAAGTTACAGTCCAGTGGATTCTGAAGCCATAGCTTAGCTCTGCCAGTTCCTGAACTTTATTGAAAGATCCTTGCTCCTTGAAATAAGTATTAAAGAGCCTTTTAAAAAGAAAAAAAAATGGGGTTAGGTCTTAGGTGTTGTTTAGATAACAGGACCCACTCCCCTTTACTCACAGGTGCCTGGGAGAGATTCCAAGCTCAGCTCTCGAAGGAGACACATTTCCCCAGCATGAATGATTTGACCTTGACAGGGTCCAAGTGAGGGGAGCTTTCCACACTTACCGTTTTATAATTCTTCAAATAGTTTTACAAGATAATAGTCAGGTGGTTTCTGTCAAACCCAAAGGAGACTGCTAACCACAGGCACAGCCGCCATTGCAGGATCGCACCCCTCTTCTTGTGTCTCTTTGCTTCCCACCCTGGTCTGTGCAGGGTCCTTCCCCTCTGCCAGTTCTGGAAGATTGGCCCAGCAAGATGATGGTGGGCAGAGACGCCCGCCATTCATTCCTGGTGAGACCAACACAGTCCTCAATGCCCAAGAACACTCCTGACTGGGTGGCATCTGATAAGTGAGAGTCCTCTCTCTGGCTGACTTCAAAGGGTGCAGAGGCTCTGTGATCACACAGGCCCTTCCTTCCCTCCCTTTTCTAATTTGCCCTGAGAGAGTGTGCAGAGCATGCCTTCCAGGTGTTTGGCAGGGATACAGGGCCCAAGGAGACACATGTGGCCTTCCCCTTGTGGCACTTAATGATTGAACAGGACAGGCGGTGAACGGGGACATGCAGGCTGCTAAGGGGTCACCCAGACGTGAAGTGGGTGAGTGCAGGCTTCCTGCAGGGGCACATTTTTATCTTAGTGATAGCTGAGGGAGGAACACAGCCTCGGATTCCCCATCACGCACATCCCTGCACACTCTGGACCCCCACCCCTCATCTCTTCCCCTCCTCCCAGGCAAACACCCTCAAGTCTTCCAAGTCGGCAGGCCTGTGTGCTCAGATGCTCTGCCTGCCCGCTGCTCTGACCTTGCCCCTTGCCTGGTGACCCCAGTTAGGATAAACCAGGCCCTGCCTCCGGTAACTCCACCAAGCCGCATCCTGTTCCTCAGTGACCTTACCTGTCACCAGGTAGTGTCTGTCTCTCTTCTTTCAGCAGAATACAAGTCCCACGAGACTTGTATTTAGGTTGCCTGTTCTACAGCGTGTCCCTGGCATGTAGCCCAGTGCCTGGTCCACGGGAGAGGCCCTCAGGATTTTTGTTGAATGAACACATGGACTGATGAATGGGTTATCCAGACAAACAGGGAGGGGAGGCGGCCTGGGCCTGGTATTCCAGTAAAGAGAACAAGATGTGCGAGGGCCTGGGGGCAGGGAGAAGAGCAGCTGGTAGCCTGGGGTGGCCTGGTGGTGTTTGGAGGGGCAGGGTGTGACCTGGGGCTGGAGGGTGGGATACAGCTGGGGCTGCCAGAAGGGCTCCAGGCTACGATCTTAGAGCCAGTTTACAGCCAGTCTTAGAGCCAGTTTAGAGCTGAGGAGAGATGTCCCATGACTCATTTCAGCCCGAAGCCCCTTCTAAGTTACTTTTGATCTTCAGCTTTGACATCGGGGAAAGTCATGGATCACTTCCCAGTAGTCAGGCTGGAGCATTTCAGTAGGAAGGACCCATTCTGCCCAGGACCTAAGACTGGCTTGATTCCTTGTCACCCACCATCCCACTCCATTAAGGGATGCTGAGCTCTACTTTCTACACCAAAGAGGGAATGGGGACTTATGGGGACTTGGAAGGCAGAAGAAGCCCATCCAGCTTGGGGGAGCAAAGGGGGCTCTGGGTAGACAGAAAACCCTACTAGGCTGTGAGAAGGCATGTTCTTTTCCACCTCCCATGGCTGGCCAGTCTGGCTCCTGCTATACACTGACCCAGGCCTCAATGTCTATGAACAAGTGTCTGTTTATGCTCCTACTAGACAGTTCCACCAGGGTTCTGCTGGGGAAGAGTGGGGCTGCAGGAATGTGGCCTTTACCCCTGGGGCTCCCCATCTGCTGAGATCTGGGCTAGTCTGGTTCGCAGTCTCAGAGGTCAGGTCGCTTGTGTCCGTGTGTGGAGGACTGTGGGGCTCAGTAGGGTCCTGTGGCCAAGAGGGTGCTCAGGGAGGAGGAGGGAAGCTGCCACTGGGGTTATGTGATGTGTGACGGTTGCACTTCCCGACAGCTGGGAACTGGGCGGGAAGGCTGCCTGGCAGTCCTGGAGGAGACCTTTGCCAAGCAGCTGGTCAGGGCCGCCTTCTCCTCGAAGTCTGGAAGAATTCATGCTGTCCCTTTGCTTGGGGACCTATAACTCTGGGTGCTGCTTGTATCCTGCCCCCTGCCTTGCATCCCTGGCCTCTGCCGCCCCCAGGCCACACACACAGGGTGCTGCATCATGTGGGGTGAGCTTTGCAGGCCTGATAGGTTTGGGTCTTCAAACCCAGTGACAGGGAGGTGTGGGAGCTTGGCTTAGTCCCTGCACTTTCTGACAGAGCCTGAGGGCACTCAGGGAGAGGTGGCAGATGGGGTGAGCTTGGAGGTCCCCGAGACCCTCTGTCTGACCCAGTTAGGACTCCCCTCCTCCTCATTGGTGGGTTGTGGGCAAGGGGTCCAAATGCCCTCCTCTGCCCTCCTACCTGCATCTCCTCCTCAGCTCCTCTCCCTGGGCCTGCTACAGGGGCTGGAGGCAAGTAGGGAAGGGAGCAGAGCCCTCTGGGGGCTTGGGTTAGGCCAAAGGCTGGTGGATGAGGGGCTGCCTGGGGCCAGGTCAGAAGCCACAGGAGGTCCTCACTGCCAGATGTGCAAGTGCCCAGGAAGTGGGAGGAGGTGGGGGGGGGGGAATGGGGAGGCACTTGGGACCTGGATTATGGTGGGATGAACAGGGATCCCACTTTGCCACCCGTGAGTTAGGAAGTCATCTCTGGCCTAAACCCGACTCAAGATGAAAATACAAACAGAGCCCTTTGAAAATCTCCATGGGCTGTGTAAGCAAGACCATTGCACTGGGCGGACCATGGACCAGAGGGGGAAACTGAGGCTCTGTGAGGGAGAGATGCTCGCTCAGGGTCACGCCTAGCACCATGGCAGAGCTGAGCCGGCCCAGGAGCCTTGTCTATCACACCATGCTGCTGTCCCACAAGGGCCAGAGAGGGTAGGGGGGCAGAGGCTGAGGGTCATGGGTTTGAAACAGCTGATGACTGGGCACCCTCTGGACTCTTGGAAACCCAGGGTGGCTCTGTTTATGGAGGAGTTGTTGGCAGAGACTGCCTTTTGCCCTATTAGCAAAAAAAAAAAAAAAAAAAATCAGCACAATAGAAAAGAGAGTAACCGCAGAGGCACGTGGGCAGGTGTGCTGGTACCTTCCTCCACTCCAGCTCCACGGCTCCCACCGACCTGTTTGGACTGCGTCGATATGGACAGATGGGGCCATCCGGGTTCCTCCATGGGTGGCATGTGCTGGGCCGATCTTGAGGCTTCAGCCGCTCCCTTTCCACTTGGAAATTCCAGGATTTCAGTAATGATGCAGCTTAAAAAATTTTTTTAAAAAAGGAGGTCAGCACCTCTGCTGTGTTCGGGACACTGCCTCCCCGTGCAGACCCTGTGGTCTGCAGACCTTGAGGACAGGGAAAGGGTCCTGTGGAAGTGGAGCAGGGGATGCGCTGGCACCTCCAGGGAAGCCATGCTGAAGTAAAGGTCTCTTGGCCGCCGCGCTGTTCTCCTGCAGGACTGTCTGGCTTCATTAAGGCTCATCTATCAGGCTGGCAGCCCGCCTCCCTGCCATCAGCCAGGCAGAGCCGGGCGGTCGGCCACGGTGATTTTCCACTCGGGAAGGGCTGGAGCGGCTGGGCTCATGGGAAGAGATGAGGTCTCAATGCCCTGCAGGCCTGGAGAGGGCCCCAGACAGGGAGGCCCTGCAGAGGCCACCGCAGCTGGTGTGGTGGGGGGGAATCCAAGGATGGCATCCTCTTACCCCTGCTTTCCTCTCTGAAATGGGACTGAAGGCTCAGAGGAGGGGAGGCACTTGTCCTCGGACCCTCTGGACATTGGTGGTAGAGCCGGGCTTGGAACTCAGGCCCTGGGGCCCCAGGCTAGCCATCTTCCTGCCTTCTCTTGACCCTGGGAGGGAGCAGAGAGCAAGGACTCTTGGGCTTGCACACACTGGACAACTGTCTCCTGAATTTTCTATAGACTTCATTTCCATAGGCCCATCCGAGGGGACAGGTGAGGCTATTTTGAGATAATTGGGGTAGAATGTGTCTTCCCTCTCAAACACTCGGACAAACTCGGGACATATTATGGCCCTGCCCTCCCCCTCCCAAGACAGACCTCTTCAGGCTGCACTTTTCCTGGAGGAATTGGACTCTTGAAGAAACTCCTCCCCGCCTAAGAGCCAAGCCAGGCACCAGATTCCTGGTAGGAGCGTGGCAGATGGGTGTCAGCCACACAGGATCTCCACAGTCACCAAGGTGTCCCTGTGAAAGCTACAGCGAGCTGTGTGGTGAACCTGGAGTGTGCGTGGTACAGGCAGGCTTGGGTGACTTCCACTGTCACCGCCTGTGGGACAAGAACTTGTGCCCTCACCCTCAGCCCTGTTGGCCCTGGGGTAGGTTACATGACAGATGGCAAGACAGGGTGATGCCAGGGGCATCTGACTCAGTGCCCATGTTTCCAGGTGAGCATGGAGGCCAGGGTGGTATGGGGCTGCCCCAGACCTGTAAGTCAGGAGTCAAACCCAGGCCTCTCAACTGTCCAACCGCTGCACACCCCAGCTCTGCTGTTTCCTGGAAAGTCACGTCTCAAACAGAAGAAGGGGAAGGCCCAGGAAGGGTGGAGAGGTCGGAGAAGTTACTCCACGGAAACTAGTGGAAAGAGGGATTTAGGAGTAGAGACAGGGAGGGTCAGAGGGGCTGCGAGCAAAGCCCCCCCAGATGGGGAGCTGGGCCACCTCAGGAGCAAGAGCTCTTGGTCGTGTGCTGAAAAGACAGGCTCTGAGGCAAAGGGACATTGGCTCCTGAAACCAAGTGCCCAAGACAGTTGGTTCTGCTCTCCTGGCTCCCCTCCCTCCCTCCCTTCCTTCTTTCCTTCCTCAGTGTTTATTCTTTCCTAGTTCTTACCAACAGTGTGACCTTGGAAAGATCAAGTGTTGGGGCCTCAGTTTCCCCATTTTAAAAGGGGATGATAAAAGGTCTTACCTCATGGGGTGCTTTCATGATTTGATGTCATGATACAGAGCATATAACACCCACTCAATATGTGTTGGCTTTTATTTTTTATTTTATTTTTGAGAAAAAAGGAAAAGAAGTTTTATTGCTTTTCTAGCAAAGGAGAAACAGAGGGGACTCCGGTCCCAAAGGCTCATTCTACCCATCAGCAGGAACAGGGGGCTTTTAAAGAGGTGATCCGAGGCTGCATTCCACAGGGTCTCTGTGGTGCGTTGGCTTTTTAGACCTTCCTTGTTGCTCCACTGACGTTTCCAACCGAGGATGACCTGCTCCGGTCGGTGGGCACAGAGAGCACAGGGTTTGAAAGGCTTCCCTTGATTTCAGACATGGAGGTTTTGCAGCACAGGTGTGAGCCACGCACACCTTTGCTCAGCTCCTACCCAGGTCAGGTGTTCTAATCTGGAGCAGTGGCTATGCCAGGAGGGCTGTGTTGTTGCCAGAGGTCCCCTCCCTGGACACACAGTGAGTAGGCGTGATGGGGGCAGGAGGTGGGGCAGGAGGGAGCAGGAACGCTGGCGGGCACCATCAGCAACAGCTCAGCTGTGGACAGGGCCCAAGAGCAGGATGGATGTAAGACTCAGATGTGCGATCGACAGGACGTGGCAGGACATGGAATGACCCAGGGGATGTCAGAGGCCACATTTGTGGGTTCTGATTCCAAAGAGATAAACGTCCAATTCTTTCTCCTTTGTCCCACAAGCTCTGCTCTCCTGGCCCTCTTGTCCTTGGCGTGGCCTCTCCTGAAACCTAGAGCAGTGTTTTCTCAACGTTGTTTTCCTCATTAGCGGGTGACCTGGGCCAGGGCTCCCGATAGCTCGGGTCGTCCGGTTTGGCGATCGCACCGTAACCGTTTCCTGTGAGGAACACGATGGGCTTCCTGAGCCCGAAGGAGCAGGCGGTGTGCTGGTTCATTTCCCTGAGTGCCTGAGTGCCCATCTGAAGGGTCTCCAGTGGCAGGAGCTCGGGGCCAAGTTCACGCTGGATGCTGGGGGTCTCCCCTTCTGTGGATTTGACCCAAGCGGGGACTTGAGTTTTTCACTGGACAATAGTGACAGGAACTGTTGGTGCCAGGTCTCAAGTCAGGGGCCTCCCAACCATCATCTCATTTAAAGTTCCCAGCACGAGCAGAGAGGAATCACTGTCGTTGCCCATTTCTGGATGGGGAAACTGAGGGAGCTGGGGTCCTATCGCCTCTTGTTTTACCTTAGTGGGGCCACAACAGCTTGTCTGTGGGTCCCTGGCTCTATGTCCCAGGCACTGGTCAGCGATGGCTTGCTGCTCACCATGGTGGCTATGTCCTGGTCTCCTGATTCCCTTCTTCTGCCCTGGACAGGAGGGAGAAATGCCACTACTGTCTCCCTTACACAATGAGGTATGGAGCTCAGAGAGATTTGGTGCCTGGAAACCTGGGACCCCCCCACTTTGCACTCCTCTGACCCCAGGAGAGTCTTCATCAAACCCCTTTGTCTGTTAGGAAGAGAGAACCAGTCACACTAGCTTTTGTATGAATTTAGAAACAATTCCCAGCCTGCAGGAGAAGGCCAGACAGAGCTCTAACAAGCCCTGGAAATGTCAAATGGAAAGAAACATCTATATTTGGTTGTCTCCCATCCACCCTCTCGTTCCCTCCACACACCAGGAACCTCTTAGTCACCATTTTTATTGCAAGAGAGCTCTGTAATTGTGTGTGTGTGTGTGTGTGTGTGTGTGTGTGTGTGTGGTGCTGGGGATTAAACCCAGTGCCCAGTGCCTTGTATATGCTAGGCAAGCCTCTACCACTGAGTACATCCCCAGCCCTTTCAAAAATTTTTTTTTATTTTATTTGGAGACTGTGTCTCACTAAGTTGCCAGCCTGGACTTGAACTTGCGATCCTCCTGCCTCAGCATCCTGAGTAGCTGAAATTTCAGGCGTGCTATGCCGGTTAAAGTTCTTTTGTGCCTAGACTGTGCCCTGCCTGGTCTCCTGTTCTGCCCCACCCCTCTGACCCTTCCTTGTTGGCCTCCCTGGTACCACAAATGGACCTCATCCTTGGCTACTTGCCCCTTCTTCATCTTCTGTCTGGGAAATCTGTGCTGAGCCCCGCCCCCCTTCTGTAGTTCAGTGGGTCTGACAGTTCCACCTGGGGATCCACGTGCACCCCTTGCTCTGTAAGTCAGAGGTGCAGCGTGTCACCGCCCACCACATCTGCCTCCTCCAGCCACACGCTCCTTATTTCGGCTGGTGGCACCAGTGTGTAGCCCAAAGCCACAAGGGTCAACCTGCCTCCCCCTCCCCCTCCTCCCACACTCTGTATCTAAGCATCCAGCAAGCCAGGCTGCACCACGTCTCCTGTCCTGCCGGCACCCTCCGGGCCCTGCCAGGTCTCCTGGGTCCCCTGCTCCAGTGCCTTGGCTGCCTCCACCAGCACCCGACTCCTGGGTCCTCCCTGGCTCTCATCCACAGAGGGCCTTCCTCCCCGGGCGTGGCCATGAAGTTCCCAGGCTGCAAGTGATCCTCTGGGAGCCAGGGGAGAAGAGCCATCTGCACAAGGGCCGCCTGGGCATCCCCCTGGGCTGGGCCGCCTCTGCTTCGTGTGCCGTGGGCGTTGACGCATTCCTGCTTGTCCTTCTTGTTCTCAGGCAGCTGCAGCCTTCAGACACCCACAGGACCCGCTGCCTCACCCTGGCCATTGCAGACATCCTGTGGCGGGCTGGGGGCCGACAGAGAGCTGTGGTCGCGCTGTAAGTGGTTCCGAGGGCCACGCCAGCCGCGGTGGCAGGCAAGCTGTTTGCAGCTCTCCTGTCTGTGGGGTGGATGGACTGTGTTTGGGGAGCCCAGGGATAGGCCAGGGCACAGACCCTCTGCACAGCTCTGCTGACTGCACGGGCTGCAGCCCTCACCTGGGAAGGTGTGCTCCTGTCTGCGCAGCCTGCCTCCTTGGGAGCTCTGGGAGCCCCTGAGAACCTGTGGCCCAGGTACCCACTTCCCCGCTGTATTCCCGGGGGCCTTAGAAACAGCCCCTCAGGTTGACCCAGCTGCTCTCCCTGGTCCCCCCAGGATTGGCATTTCCCTTGAGAGGTGAGCAGAGGATGGTGGAGCCCAGACCTGGATGCTGTGCCCTGACCCACCTGGGCTCTTCCCTGTGGCCTCCGTCCTGCCCCACACAGTCCACAGAGCTCACTGGCTGCCTCTTCTCCTCGACCCCTCAGAGTGGAAGCATCCCTTTGTCCTGGCCCTACCACTGAGTACATCCCCAGCCACAAAAAAATTCAATTTTTTTTTTATTTGTGGCTTAACTTTAGCAAAGGAAGTAATTTTGGGGGCTAAGAAGCACACTCTGGGGTGCATGTTGGTCACTGTAGCATAGGGTTTATGAGAAGGAACTCTCTGAAGCTGTTGCTCGATGGCTATGTGACCTCAGGCAGCTAACTTCACCTCTCTGTGCCTCATGTTTACTTGTTTAGAAAATGAGGATGATGGTAATGATTACTTAATAGGATGGTTGTGAGAACTAAATGAGTCAGTATAAATAAATAATATGCAATAAATATAATAACATTATTCATCTGAATCATTTATCAGTATAAATTGGTGATAAATAATAAATATAAAGTGCTTAGGACAGCGCGTGGCATACACTAAGCATCACAAAAGTAGAGGTGAGATATCATCGTCATTATTGTTGTTGATGACCTTTTTTAAAAAAATTTTAGTTGTAAATGGACACAATACCTTTATTTGATTTATTTATTCTTATGTGGTGCTGAGGATCGAACCCAGCGCCTCACACATGCTAGGCAAGCACTCTACCACTGAGCCACAACCCCAGCCCCTATTACCTGTCTTGTACCGTGTTCCAGGGAGCTTATTAACCTAGGCCCTTAGCATCTATTGCAGCAGCTCTAAGAGCAGATGAGGTAGGAATTGTATTTCTGCCTGTTTTAGAGATTCAGAAACAGAAGCCCAGAGAGGGAAGGTGGCTGATCCATGGCCACACAGCAGCTAGTGGTACAATGGGTCCCCAGTCCGAGCCCTACACTTGTCCATGCCACACTGCTCTGCACACCAAGGGAAGTTAACCAAGGGGTCGCGGAGAGGAGGCTCTAGAGGCAGAGCTGGGATCCCCCATTAGTGGACGCGAGGGCCAACGTTGCCAGCCAACATTCCCGTGGGCAGGCAATCCTCAGTTGTGGTGGGAGTCAGGCTTCCCACTGCCAGGGTGTGGGTTTGGCTATTCCAAGGGCACCCCCTGCTCTTTTTTTTTTTTTCATTCTTTCTTTTCCCCCCTCCCCCGTGAGTCCCCTGGACCCAGGCTAGGAGGTGAGTCTGCAGCAGGGAAACCGGAGACACCTTTGGCTCCTTCTGTCCTCGGCAGCCACCTTCCATTTGTCCTCAGGGGAAGGCACATGCGGTCCTGTGCTGGCGGGAGGGCGTTCTTTCCTGGCAGAGGACTCACGCTCCGTCTTTTCCTTTTTAGGTCTTCGGGAAGCGAGCAGTTCAGCCCGACTGGGAAATACAAAGCCGACGGAGTCTTAGAAACAGTACGGCTTTCTGGAAAGTTATCACACAAACTTTGGCTTTGTTTGGGGACTGTCTCCTTTCCTATAAGTAAATCCTCCCACAGCTGGGGATGCCCGGGCCCTTCCTGCAGCCCATGCCCACCGTGTCCACGCCCCCCGGGTTGGGGAGGGGACAGAGGTGTTTGGCTTTGGGGGTGGGCGGCTGCCAGCGCTGGTTCTGTGGCCAGTGACTCCCGACACCTCAGGGGCGCGCAGGCCTAGGGTCCCCAGCAGCCTGTACACAGCACCCCGGGCTGAGCCCCAGCCCTCCCCCAGGTCCCTCTTCCTCTTTCTCCAGCCTCTTTTCTAAGACCTGGGGGGTGGGGGGTACAATGGTGCCAGTCTGCAGAGGGGAGGCAGTTAGAAGGTGGGGAAGGACTTTGATAGCATGGAGCTCCTGCCACGAAGCCAGACGTCCATGGTACAGAGTGAAAAAATGGGAAATGTACTGTTGGTTGTTTTGAAAATACAAAAGCTGTGAAGTTAAAAAAGAAAAAGAAAATCCTGCCATCTGTTTAGAATCTTCTGTTTTTACTTTTTGGCACCAGGGATTGAACTCAGGGGCACTCGACCACCGAGCCACATCCTTAGCCCTTTTCTGTATTTTATTTAGAGACAGGGTCTCACCAAGTTGCTTAGCTCCTCACTTTTGCAGAGGCTGGCTTTGAACTCGTGATCCTCCTGTCTCAGCCTCCTAAGCTGCTTGGATTACAGGCGTGCAACACTGCCCCTGGCTAGAATTTTCATTTTAACCCACTTGTTTTATTTGACCTAGCTTTGGGCCAATGTGACCCTGGGACCCTAATTAAGGGCCTCACTTGGCTAATTTTTTTTAAAGCGTTTTTTTTTTCCCTCTCAGACCTGCCTGAGAAAACAAAAGGGACTCATATTTGCTGCTTTCCAATAACTCTGGACCTGGCCTGTTGGGCTCCCCTAGCCTGGCATTGTGATTTGGATGTGCTAGCCTCCTCAATCCCCAGACTCTTCTCAGCTATGACTGGCATGCAGGGTGCAGCCCTCCCTACGGCCACGTGCAATGCTGGGTCCTGTGCTTAGTCCCACAACCTGTGACATTCTTGGGGTTCTAAAGGTGGGCCCAGGGCTGCTGCTGGGCAGACTCACCCCCAGAGACCCTGGCTGTTCTGGGAAGCCTTGAGTTGCACTAGATGTGGGGCATGTCCCAGCGCCAGCTCTGCAGGTTGCTACTCTCAGCCTAGGGAGGGTCACAGTGGGGTGTGTAGTGGCTGAAGCCAGGGCCACAGGCTCTGACTGGGATTGGGATGGGCTTGGCCCCGAGGAAATGGCAGCTCACAAGTGTGTGTTCCTTCCCAGCTCACACTGCACAGTCTGACCTGCTACGAGGAGCTGGTGACTTTCCTTCAGTACAGCATTCATCAGGTATGAACCGTAGCGTCTGTTTGTGGGATGGGCAGTGTTGAGCCTTCTGGTTTCATTGTGGGTGAGATGCTGGTGACCTGGAGCTGTCCTCTCCATCAGCCAAGATGGCAGGAGGGCCTCTGGGTGGTGCGTTGAGGATGATGGGTGATGTGTCTGGAGAAGGGTGGACTTGGGGCAGGGGTTCCAGGCTCTCCATCGCATCCTCGTGGGCTGGTCATGGACACAAGTTAGCTTTGGGGCTGCAAAGAGCAGGGCTAGGACTGGTGGGGTCGGAAGAAAGAGAAGCAGCAATTAGATGGTGGCTGCAGAGCTGTCTTTGTGTCCAGGAGCAAGCACCTTCCTCTGGAGCTCTGTGTTAATGGGTGTGTCCCGGGACCAGCTGGGAGAAAAGGAAGTGGCTTCCAAGTCAGGGTTGGAGGGCAAGCAGTGCCCATGGGGACACTGCTTGGGACAGGACCTCATCTGGTGTCCTGGGGAGTCTGGATTGGCCCAAGCAGGGACCCTGCAGTGTCCAGTCTGTAAACTGTACAGCCACTCTCTACTGTGAGCTAGGAGGGACGTGGCCAGGGTCAGGAGCAGTGCAGCCAGAGGGATCTTGGAGTTCCCAGTGGGGCTGTGGCAGCCTGGCTTTGCAGAGGAGGAGGTTACACTCTCCAAGGGCAGAGGACTCGGCCTCCAGAGATAATTGGCCTGAATTTGGATCCGGGTTAGCTCCCTACTAGCTCTGAGGCCTCAGACAACACATGGAGCTCCTCTTCCCCTCAGTTTCTCCTCTGCCAGACATGGGGAATAGCAGCATCTGCCTCAGGGCCTTGTGTAGCATGTCAGGACTTGAGCAATGTCCTCATTCATTGTGGGCGTCCATTGTCACCGTGGTTTAGGGCCACCTTGGGATGGGTGAGCCATAGACATGTAAAAACAAGAGGGAAATCTTACAATGTGAGCTAAGACCAGGAGACTGGACCCCCCTGCCTTCTTGCTTGCCCACATGCAGCCTTGCAGAGGTCCCTGGGTCTCAGTTTCCTCATCTGGAAGGTGAAGGACTGCAGATTCCAGCTCCAATAGAGGTGGTCAAGGAGAAACTTAAACACCGGGAGGCATGTTTTCCAAATGGAGTATAGGCAGTCTGAATCAGCAGGAAGGGGGCCCCCTGTTAAACCCAGAGTGCACCTGAGAGACTTATGAACCCAGTGTGGGGACTCCACCAGGGTGGCCAGGACTAAGGTCACACATGTCACATCCTCAGATGAGGCAGGGCCTGGAGCTACCTAGTCAGGCAAGGGAAGTGATTGCTGAGGCTTATGGGGCCAAGGAGAGGCTCCAGGGAGATCATTCCAACGGCCCAAGTTTTGGAGGTCTTATAACTGTCCCCAAAGGTTCTGGCTGCCCAGCAGTGCTAGGGCCTCTGTATCCCTACCTGTAACATGGGTCTCACCCTTGGCCTGTGTCCCCGGGTTTCAGTGAAGCCTAGGCATGAAAATGACTGTGAAAGGGACTTGGAGAGTATGGCTGCTGCAGGGAGAGAGACCCTCAAGGCCTCTGGCCTCGAGCTGTCCATCCCTGGCCAGCTTTGGCTCCCTGCTTCTGCCGGTCCATTCAGTATTTGGCCCTTCTCAATCTGGCAGCCAGAGTCTCCCCCTGAAGCTTGATTTATGTTTTTGCTGGAAGCAGCGGAGCTGCCTCAGCACTAGGTTCACCAAATCCATTTTTCATGGGCTGGGTCTCAGAGGGGCTCCTGGTGCCAGGCCTGGAAATGTACACCAAACCGTCTCTGCCCAAAATAAATAGCCTCCTCGCTGGGTTTTCATTACCGCTCACCTCTGGGTGAGGTGTCTGGCAGACCCCGGGCTGGCTCAGGGATACCCCCGCCCCCACGGCCCACTGAAGTCCTTTGGAGGGCTCAGGTCTCTCCAGGGCCGGAGATCTGGGGTGGAAGAATGGCCCCTTCTTCCCGAGTGGCACCAGACATGGTTCCGGCCCCTAAGTGAGGTTTCCGGACCAACTGCCTGCCGGGGCTCGCCTTTCCAGCCGGCGCCTTGCCCCGTGGCCTCCCAAGTCTTGGCAGCTTGAATTTGATGAGATAATTTTAATAAATGTTTTCAAAAGCAAAATGGAATATTGCTGCCATTCACTGTGTTCTGGCAAGGGCAGGAAGCCCCAGGTGGGGTTCATCTCCCCAGCCTCTGCAGAGGGCTCAGGGTAAAGGCTCTTGAGGGTGGGCCAAGGACTGGGCAAATGCCCACCCAAACCTCCCCATAGTTTCACAGCCAGCTAGGGCTCACCAGGACTTCCGTGTCCTTCCTCATCTCAGTCCTGTGGTCTGTAGGTATCACAGGCACGTGGAGGGGAGATAGACCTCAAAAGTACCAGGGCTTCCCCCAAACAAGGTGTGGGTCCATGGCAGCAGTGCGTAGGTATTCCAGAAGGAAAGGCCAGCATGCAGGTCAGCAGCAGAGCTGTGACACAGGTCTGCAGGTCCAAGCCCCCACCCCCCCACCCCCAGGTGTGTGTCCTCTTTTGCAGGACATCCACATAACTCTGCAGTGGTCAGAACATGTCTGCAGACACTGGGGAAACTGAGAGTAACAGAAGTGAAGCAATTGGGTTGAGATCACAGAATTAAGGGAAGGGTAATTTAAGATGGACGTGGATCCATTCATTCATTCATTCGTTTGTATTTCCCCAAACTGGGCTCTTCTAGGCCCTAGCACAGTGAACTTGCCCGCTCTTGCTTTGGGGCCTGTGCACATACCTCCCATGCTATGAGTGGTGTTCACTTCTCTTCTGATTCCTGGGGTTTGTATTTAGACATCAGGCCTCCATAATACCTTCCTTGGGCCTCCTCCCTCCCTGAGCTTGATGTCTGTGGATATGCTCCGTGGTGTTCCTGTGCTTTGCCCCTTCTGTCACTTGGGCTGGTGCATCCCTATGATGAGGGGATCTGGCTGGTGAGACCTGCCCAGGGTCTGTCCTGTGGCCACCTGATGGGAGGCTGTGAGTCCAGGAGCCCCCAAAGAGTGTCAGGCTGAGGGCTGGAGGTGTGTGGAAGGTACTCACTTCTCTCTCCTTTCCCAGTTCCAAGCAGGCCCCTATGGATGCATCCTGCTCACCCTGTCTGCCATCCTGTCCAGGTCCCTGGAGCTGTGAGTATCTTTCTCTGTCAACTCCTTGGGCGGGGGCTATCTGTGTCTCCCTGTGCCCCTTCCCCAGAGCCCAGGGCAGGGCTTGGTGTTTAGTGAGGCAGCAGAGGAGGGGAAGAGCTGGTGGAAGAGCAGAGCAGGCCCGTCCTACATATTCCAAGGTCCCCTTCTCTGTGGTGTCCCCACTTATGCTGGGGACAACTCAAGAGGGACCTCTGCAAGCTTGCATGTGACTGCTGTGTGCACATTTAAGGCTCTCATCCTTGCTACTTGTGCAGGGGTGGACAGTGAGGCTGAGACCTGGGAAATGGCTGCAGACCCCGAGTTCAGGGCAGGGTCTCTCTGTAGGCCAAGACTGTTCTGCAGCCGCCAGCAGGCTACTGGGAGTCCTGGGCGGTACCCAGAGGGAGAGTTAGGAATGCCAGTGGTCCTGACTTTCTTATGCTGGACCCCGGGCTCCTAGGCTGCCCTAGAGCTGAGCCCTTCCATGAAACTGATTCCCTCGGAGCCTTCTAGGCCTCTTGTCTGTATTTACCACCTGGGCATCGTCCCTAGGGAGCACAGCAGGAGAATAGTACAGGGATAGTTTTGTAAAGTACACTTGGTGGTGGCATCACTTGGCAGGCAGGCAGAGCTTGAGATGGAGACCCAGAGGAGGGGACTTGGGAAGGTCCAAGGTCCAAGCACCTTGGGAAGGTGCTTTATAGGGAAGATTTCGGAACAACTCCCAGCAGGTTTGGGAACTGCAAAGTCCCTGGGCAGCTTTGAGGTGCACAGGCAGGAGAGGCCCTGGCAGAAGGACATGTTTGCCCTCCTGCCCTGGCTGGGCCCTGCTGGCCTGTGGCTGCTCCCCCAGGGCCTCTGCTGCAGGCGGGAGGAGGACTGCGGGGCTCTGTGGGACCTCGTGTGCTGGCCTGCCTGCTGCCTGCTGCTACTGACCTTATTAAATCGGTGTGTGCACAGCGCTTTCTAATGGCATTTTTCTTCTAATCCTGCCATAATGATATAATTCATTCCTGGCGTGAGCTCACGTGCATGGAGACCATAAGCCGCCGGCCCTCTCCCTGGGCCTGGTTTGCTAATCCCTGGGCTGGAGGTGTTGGGGGGGGGGGCCTGTCTTCTGGCCTCACTGGGGAAGCCTGCACTCTCAGGTGGGCCAGGCTTGGTAGTGCTGGCCTCAGCTTCCCCATCTGTGCAGGGGACCTTCTGCCCTGCGTCTGGGCTCCGAGCTTGAGTGATCACAAGCAGTCTATTTATGTGCAGTCTCCTGTGTGGAGTCTTCTCCTTCTAGATGGGGCCTTGATGCCCCCTGTCCAGAACACTCTTCACATGGGTCAGAACTGGAGGACTTAGGCCACTGCTGCCCCTCCCTGTCCCATCCAATGGAGCTGGGCAGCAGTGGTGCCCTGTCCAGATTGTGGCACCTAATGGGCATCAGGGTGGGGAATTCTGCCCCACAGCCTAGACTGCACAGCCTCATGTGCATGGCCTGAAGTCACAGTCCTGTCAACACACACACACACACACACACACAGAGGCATAGACACACACACCGACACACATAGATACAGTCCAGCTGCTCCCTCAGGGCCCTGAGGACCTACTATGGGCCCTGCAGCAGGTATCCTGAGGCTCTGGGTGCAGGCTGGGCCTCCCCAGGCTTCTGCCTTCCAGAGGACCCAGATAGAGACCTGTGTGATGTTGGCTGCACAGGTTGGTTGTCATTCCTCTGTCTCTCGCCTTCCCCTTTCCTTAGAGGACAATACAGAGGAAGTCCTATTAGCAGTAAGGATAATGGCAACCAGCATTATGAAGCTCCCTGTGTGCCCAATCCTTTTCTTTGAACCTCTTGATCCTCCATGACAACCAGTTAGGCGGGTGCCACTGTGGTCCCCATGGCTTAGGGCGGGGAGTGGTTCCCCCCAAGGTTACACAGCAAGTGAACCTGACAAACAGGGTTCCCCCAGGTGATCTGGCCCAAGCCAGAGCTTTTGGTTTGTGCTTAACAGAGCTGAGCCTGGGAGTAAGACAGGTTCATTAGGCCTGGTCACTCCTCGGGGAACCAGGTTATCACGGCTCCTGCAGGGTGGGAGCCTTTAGCAGTGGCTGCTGCAGGACCATGAGCTCGTGTGTTTTCCTATATTTTCTTGCCTCTGGCTTGTCTTGGTGTCCCAGGTGGAGGCTACCAGGCCTCCCCAGTAGATGCAGCCATGAGGATATGCCAGCCAGCTGGGCGTGGAGGTGCACACCTGTAATCCCAGAGGCTCAGGAGGCTGAGGCAGGAGGATTGTGAATTCAAAGCCAGCCCCAGCAACTTAATGACGCCCTGAGCAACTCAGCAAGACCTTGTCTCAAAATGAAAAAAAAAAAAAGGGCTGGGGATGTGGCTCTGTGGTTAGTGCCCCTGGGTTCAATCCCTGGTACCAAACAAACAAACAAAAGGATGTCCTGAAGTTCATGGTGGTCCTCTGTGGTGATGTGGTGAAGTGGCAGATCCTTCCTGAGCATCAGTGGGCTTCCCGGGCACAGAGTACCCTTGCTTGGTTGGACCCTGCTGAGGGGTAGATGGAGAGACCCAGCTAAGGACCTGGGGTAGAGGCAAACTTGAGCAACCAACTCTGATTTGTTCAAGTTCAAGAAAACATTTTGTTAGACTGAGGGCTTCAGGTAAGAACTCAACCTCAGGCCACCCAGGGGTCTCTGGGGCTGCTGCAGATCTGAGCTCTCTCGTGACCACTGTGCTCATGTCCACAGGGCTGCTCAGATGGGGCATCAGCTGACCCTTCCCCCACCCGTGGTCCAGGGGTTTCCTGAGGAGGAAAGACAGGGATGACAATGAGCACAGGGACAGCGGCAGTCCCTGTGCTGGCCAGATCCTGAGAGTCCCCCTGAAGCCACTTCACATAGCACGCTTACATTCTTGGCACTCATAGAGGTTTCCTGTGAGGAAGGCATCCTCTCACCTTCCTAAGCGGAGTCCCTGCAAGCATCCTCTCCCTATTATAAACCAGTCACATTGCACAACCACGTGGATCCCTCTGTCCCCTGGCACCCCACCTTGGCCCTCTGAAGGCTTCCTGTCGTCCATGGCAATGAGGACTATTCCTGAGACTGGGAGACCCACTTCCGGCCTGCTGCCTCCTGGTGAGCAACAGGCAAAGACCTTTCTTATGGACACTGAGACTGGCAGGTGCCAGTGTCATCCTGCTCAGTCACCGTTTGACCTGTGCAGAGACACCCAGCAGGGTGGTGCGTCACATGAAAGCTTGCACTTGGTGACTTTGATGTAGCATCAGGATGTCTGGGTTCCCCTTCTCAATTCAGCTGCCCACAAGCCATAGGCTGACTCAACCTGTGTCTTAATTCTTTTATTTCCAGAAGGACAGGGTTGGGCTAGTACTTTTTAGACTCCTTATTGTGAAAATCTGATTAGTTTTAAAACATCTATTTAAAGGTCAAGGAGTTAAGAAAATGCAACAGGATGACTTTGATGGGTGCAGATGTGATAGGGACGGGGAGGCCCCTGACTCCCAATAAGGCATCAACCTGCCCCCCGCCATGGCCCAGGGACCCCTCTTTGGAGAAGCCCCAGCTCTACAAACAACCCAGCTTCAAAACCTTGGGAGCAGATGATCAGACTCTCTGTGGAGTCCAGAGTCAGCTCTGCAGAGAACCCTTTGATGCTGCTTCCTACTGGCCTGTGATTACTTTGCACAGTAGTTGAAAACATGTCCTGGGAACCCAGCGAGATAACAGAATCCAAGATCAAATGCTGTTCAGCCAGGGAGAAGCGGAGTGGAGGGCTGGGCAGACCTACCTGATCCCTCCAAATGCAGTGTGTGTGGATGGGTGACATCGCGAGACTTGTGGCTGGATGGGAGGTGATGTGGGTGTGGATGGTCAGCTGGAGATTGGTGAAGGATGACATGATTGTGAGTGTGTGACAGAGGATCTGAAGCCCAGAGGCCGCCCTGCACCAAAGTCAGTGCTCCTGGCTGAAGGCCACTCCTAAGCCAGAACAGAGCCAGGGCCGGGTGCCATGGCAGATGTAGTCCCCGCCGAGCACAGCCCAACCACTCCAAAGAACAGTCGAGAACAGGCCTTTGAGGTTTGTTTACTCGGGCTGTGTGCAGAGTCTTGCAAAGGGTTTATTTTTTTTCCACTTGATTTCAAGCCGTTTATTTTCTTTCTTAAGATCTCCAGTTGCTTACAGTAAATCTCATGCCTGATTTCATGTTCTCCTTGGTCTGCTGCTTCCCCCCCACACACATGGATAGAGCCTTCCCCAGGGAGCTCTCACAAGCCCAAGATGCTCAGAGCCCTGGGGGTCATGGCCAGCTCTGAGACAGGACCGGGCAGCCCAACACTGGGGGTGCAGCAACCCCCCGGGGGGGCACCCAGACCTGGCCTACCGTAGACTGATGCTCACGGGTGGCTTGGGCCTTGGTTAAGAAGGTGGGGAAGAAGCTTATGTAGAAGGCCTTCCCCATGCCCCTCGGCCTTCAGTCCAGTGACCACCCCAACTGCCCAAAGGCAATCTGAAAAGTCCACAAAGGATGTTAGCTTGTTATTGGCTGAAGGGTTGGGGGAGGACCCATGCAGCATCTGCACCATGGTGACTTGCTCTCAAAACTCTTTTGAGAGATTAAAAACAACAGGGACAACCAACCAGTTTCTTTCTTTAAGGAAATAGCCCTGAAATGGATGACAACTATGAGAATTGGTTGCAAAAGAAAGTGAAAGAAACTCGCTTCTTACCAGTGCAACCAGAAAACAAAGCCACTGTTATCAAATACCTGGACTTCAGGAGTGGCTAGATCCAGGAAGTACATACTGTGCCTGGGATTTGTGTCCCTTCTCTATCTCCTCACTATTCTCCCCTGAGTCCCAGCTGTGTTCTCAGGAAAGCCTCCTGCATGGGGACTCCAATAACTCCACAGCCTGCCAGGTGACAGGCACCGGATGCCATCACCATGGCTGGGCCTGGGCTGCACCTATCATGG